AGGCCAGGAGATTCTGGCTGGATGTTGGCGTCTGAGTTAGCATAATGCCCTGTTGACATCTGCATGTTCTCCCAGATCTGCTCAGGAGAGAGCCCTGGAGGACTCATTCTCCTCTTAAAGAGTCCACTTCAGGAAAGCCTCAGTCTCCTCAAAGTAAGTCCACATTGGAGACCTTGTGTCCTGCACTGGGTACTCCAGGCTCCGTTGATATGAACCTTACACCTGGAGCTCTGAGCTCATCTAAGATGAAAGGCATCAAATGCCTTAGTACCGAGACCCTCCTCCATACCACAGGAGGAGGGCACTATAGCGAAGGAGTCTAAGCACTCTGCTTCTAAAAGGGCAGTACCTACAACTCTTTTGGTATCTTCTATATATAAACTGGCCACCAACATGTCCTCTGAATGGGAGAGATGCCATGCTTCTCATACTGTCTTTGTTCTTCCCCAGCCATCTTTGTTGGTACTGTATACTTCCATCAGACAAGACCAGAGCAGTCTATGTCCTTGGTACTGACTGTGGAACCTTTCCCTGTACAAACTCAACCCCGCACGGTGCCACAGGAATTCAGATACTCCGAAGACTTCCTTGTTTCAGATGAGCCAGAGTCTGAATGCCTCTTGGTACTGAGAGTGACCTGGTCACCAAGACTGAACTATTTCCTGGTACTGTTCTGTTCTCCAGCACCCTCTGAGATGGGTAGAGCTCCTCCTTTAGACAGGGAGGGTTTCTCTTTCAATTCCCAAATATCAGTGCAGGATTCCCCTATTCACCATCCAAGGGACTTTCCTCCTGCCACTTTTGGTGAAAGAGGGGAGCCACTTCTGGGATGAACTCGTGCCCCTCTGCACTAGTTCAAGCAGCATTGGATGGGATGCCTCCCATGCCTTATGGACTTTCTCAGTGGCCTTGCTGGGATTCTTGGGCTGCAATAGACAGCAATTTTCACAAGCTCCTACACTTTTTGATGTGGAGACCAAGAAGGAGATATTCTCTTCACCTGTTTATACTCCCTCCATTACGTCAGGTGTTGGAATCCTTTAAAGAGCAGGAGGCTACTCCACAAACAAATGTCTTCTCTAGATGAGACAGTTGTGCTCTTTCCCCTTCTCTGGCTGATGATCTCATACAGTTCCAAGACATAATGAAACATATTGACGCCTCTTCACAGATCCCAGTAGAGGTGATCAGAGAGTCTCACCGTAAGCTCCTGTATATTCTGCAATGGGCAGCCTCTGCTCATGTTGCCTTTCCAATCAACATGGCTCTGTTGGACCCTGCTAAGACCATCTGGCAGACCCTGGTAACAATACCACCAACTTCCAAGCATTCCAGTAAAAAATATTATGTCCCAGCTAAGGACTCTGAATTTTTATTTTCCCATCCTTCTTATTCTCTAGTTGTGAAAGCAGTGAATGACTGGGGTGGACAGCACCGTGCTAAGTTACACCTTATGAAAAGGATCAAAAACGTCTGGACGTGACAGAACAACATAGTCTGTATTTTCTACATCAGTAGACCCACGGAGATGCCCTTTCTACTGAAGCAATAAAGTTATTGAACTGGCGTATAGCCAATCACACCCTCACTTCAGCAGCTTACGTTCCAGGCTACAAAACTCCATAGCTAACAATCTCAGCAGACACTTCTCCCATGATTATGAATGGGAGCTGGACTCTCTGACTCTCAATAATGTTTTTCTGACTTGGGGATTTCCAGAAGTGGATCTCTTTGCCACCATTATTTGCAGGAAGTGCAAACAATTTTGCTTGAGAGAGGGTTTGGCCCTTACTCTTGGGGAGATGCTTTCCTGATTCCATAGACAAGGAAACTTCTCTATGCATTTCCATCCACTCTCCTAATATTGAAGGTGGTAAACAGGATCAAATAGGACAAAGCCAAGATTATATTAATAGTTCCAGTGTGGCCCAGACAGGCCTGGTATCGTTGCCTGATTTACCTTGCCATTTGTCTGGGAATGAGTTTTCTGTCCAATCCCAGTCTTCTCTCTCAAGATGCCGGTTGAACTGTCCATCCCATCCTGGGAATTGGGCTTGGTTACTTGATGGTTCTTGGGGATAGAGACTTCCTGTTCAGTAGGTGTTATTAAATAGTATGGAAGCATCTACGCCTAATTCTTACTTGCAGAAAAGAAAAAGGTTTCACCACTGGTGTGACCATCAACATCTTTCATCCATGCATTCTTCACTCTCAATGATCCTTGACTATCTGCTAGTATCAAAAAAGTCAGGATTATGTAGAGTTCCATCAGGGTTCACTTGGTGGCTATAATAAGGGCATTACCAAATTCACGGCCATGAAAAATGCATCACGGACCATGAAATCTGGTCTTTTGTGTGCTTTTACCCTATAGTATGCAGATTTCGTGGGTGAGACCAGTGTTTCTCAAATTGGGGGTTCTGACCCAAAAGTGAGTTACAGGGGGTCACAACATTATTTTAGGAGGCCACCCTTACTTCTGCACTGCCTTCAGAGCTGGGTGGCCAGAGAGTGGTGGCTGCTGACCAAGGGTTCAGCTCTGCAGTCAGCAGCGCAGAAGTAAGGGTGACAATACCACACCATGCCATCCTTACTCCTGCATTGAGCTGGCGGTGACTCTGCCTTCAGAGCTGGGCTCCCAGCCAGCAGCCGCCGCTCTCCAGCTGCCCAGCTCTCAAGACAGCACCACCGCCAGCAGCAGCACAGAAGTAAGGGTAGCAGTACCACAACCCTCTCCCCCCCCCACAATAACTTTGTGACCCCCCCAACTCCTTTTTGGGTCAGGACCCCTACAATTACAACACCGTGAAATTTAAGATTTAATTAATTGACATCATGAAATTTGCTATTTTTAAAATCCTATGACCTTGAAATAGACAAAAATGGACTGTGAATTTGGTAGGGCCCTAGCTATAACAGCCTTTCATTCCCCAGTTGAGGGACTTTCAGTGTTTGCTCATCCCACCATGGCGAGATTCAGTAAGGAGTTGAGGAACCTTTTTTTTCACATTTAGGATTTAAACTTTGTAATTAAGTGTCTTATGAAACCTCCTTTTGAACCGTTGGGCACCTGTTCACTTCTTCACCTATCCATGAAAATGGCTTTCTTGGTGGTCATCACTTCTTGAAGAGTCAGGGAAATGGGAGCTTTAATGGCGGACCCTGCTTTTACATTGTTTTTCAAGGAAAAAGTTTCATTACATCTGCATCCTAAATTTCTACCTAATGTATCGTCTGAATTTCACATCAATCAAGTCATTCATTTCTTGGTTTTTTCCCCAAACCACATCAGACCAGAGAGGATACCTTCCTCACAATAGATGTCAAGAAGGAGTTAACCTTTTATTTGGACGGAACCAGGTGATTTAGAAGATCTCTAAGACTGTTCATGTCAACCGCTGACAGGTCCAAAGAGTCCACAATTTGCACCCAGAGCCTCTTTAGGTAGATTTCTGGATGTATTATTTCTTGTTACAAATCTGCTGATATTCAATTTCCTCTTAGGGTATTAGTCTATTCCACAAGATTTCTGTCCACCTTGATGACTTTACTCAAAAATGTTCCCATTGTGGAGACCTGAAGCGCTGCAGCTTGGACATCCATACACATCTTTTCCAAGCACTGTGCAATGGTTCATTTTTCTAGATCAAATGCTGCCCTTGGGAATGCTGTTTTGTCTTCAGTATTGGACTCTGATCCAAAGCTGCCTCCTTAGGTTGAGCATACTGCTCTAAGTCACCTGAAGTGGAGCTCCTATAGGGACACTACTTGAAGAAGGAGAGGTTACTCATTCTGTGCAATAACTGGAGTTCTCCGAGATGTGGCCCACTACAGATGATGCACTGCTAGCACTCCTTCCTCTCTGGTTCAGAGTTTCTTCTTGTGGGACTTTGCAGTGGAGAAGGAACTGAGGGCAGTTTGCTCACGCAGCCCTATATATCCTTGGTACAGAGCATAAGAATATGTGGGGTGCATGCTTGGGCTGAATGGGCACTACTACCAAAAAATCTCCGATCAAAGGCGCCTGGGGTGCTAGTACCCCAACGTGGACCACTAGTAGGGACAAACATCTCGAAGAACTCCATTTATTGCACAAGGTGAGTAACTTCTCCTTCTGCCATTCCCTCTACATTCAGCAATAGACATGGCAGTGGAGCGGTAGTGGCCAAGGAGCCCTGGCTCTGCCCTCCTTTTTTGTGTTTGTGTGAGAGGTGTATCTAAAGTTTCACTCTGTATGTTACGTTTTTAATGAGCATGCAGAGGTTGGATAGGTTGCTTTTTCATTGTAGTATAAGCCAAAATAAATACATAGGCTGAGCATTAGACTGGAAAATGGATATTTGAGTTCTAATTCTGTCTCTTAGATGGACATGCTCTATAGTCTTGCAAAAGATGCTTCCCCTCTCCTTTGCTTCAGTTTTCCAATCTCTAGTATAGGGATGCTTTCTGATTCTCCTTCCCAGGGTGATGAAAGTATTAATGTTCACAAAATACTACCTAATCATTTTTTGGGATTGTATTTTAAACGCTTCTGGTATATTCCCTATTTTCACGGTTGCTCTGGAGTAAATTGTGCCGTTAGCAGATTTTTACATAGTCAGCTAATTTCAGTTAGCTGAATAAGAAATCTCCAGTAGCTGTAATTTGTGGCTACTGTCAGATTTCTGGAATATATTTTGTGTGCATAAGAGAACCTATTTTCCTCACAAAAAATTTTCCTCATTCCATATTTAAGTTGCAGGAGTTGAGAGTGAAATCACACTAAGCTGTGTAACTTTCTGAAATCTGAGCATTTGGGAGCATTAATTAAAAAATAACAAAACTAAGCACAGGCTGTAGCAGCAAAATCACCCCAGTCTTGAGCTGACGTATTGCTTTCTTCCTGTAGGTCACTTTCTGGTGGCAGTTTGATTGAAGGATGAAGTTAAGGTTCTCTTCTATCTTGAAGATATTTGTATTTGTAAAGTTTTTCTCAAAAACTCTCTCATCTTTCTTCCTAGAGAAATCTGACAGAGTATTTTGTAGCCGTCGATGTCAACAACATGCTGCATCTCTACGCTAGTATGCTATATGAACGTCGCATCCTCATCTGCTGTAGTAAACTGAGCACTGTAAGTAAATTTCAGAATATTCTCTTGACAATTCATTTTAAAAAGTGCCAGTCATGCTGGAGATCATCTGGGATACCTAGAATTTGCGTAAACACAGATTTAAAACTGTTTGTAGGGTGGCAGGAATATTGTATTAAAGTTGGATTTATTGTATAAATGAATATGACAAAGGGCCAGTCTTCTGAGTTCTTCCCTACTTAAAAGGACACTGTATGCAGAGATGAGGCACTGTAGGCATACTGAGAAATAATCGCAAATCACTGGAATCATTAATAGCCATACAATCATTATGTACATTCGCATAAGCAGACAGAAGCAGGGAATTGCAGAAGAGAGAAGTAAATGTATGCTGTCAGGATGTATTCAACATACCTGATTTCTGGCTAAAAAATGTCTGTGTGAAATCAGGTGTGTATATATAAAAAAAACAATAAACGTTTGACTGTGCTTGGGCTGTGGAAAATCCCATAGCAAAGATGACTTTTCTGAGGTTCTCGGGCCTCGCAAGTGTTTGAATGAAAAAGTTTTTCTCTTGATACAGATGCTGTAAAATATTTATACCATGTTAGTAAAACCCTTTTTCATATGCTTATTTGAAAGAAAAATAGATAAATGATTCTTTCAGGCAGAACTTCTGGTGACCTTCTCTTGATGAACCCAGATGGTGAGCTCTAACACGTTAGAGAACCACATTTTTCGCAATTTTGTTTGATAAGATGTAGGCTTAATGCTACTTAGGTTCCATCAAGCATCTGAAAGATGAAAGCTGCTGAGCACTCCAAAGTGCTGTCTCTTCTAAAAATGGCTGCATATCAATACCAAAAACCTAGCCTGACTTAGTTCAAAGTTTAGCATTATGCATTTGAAGTTTTATCAGTCAATAAGATCGTGATTTTATGTATAAAAGAAAATGTTAAGTTTTCATTCTGTTTGCTCTGTAAATGGGTATTGATTGTTTTCCGTTATGAATGATAAACAGAGGATGGTTAACTAAACGTTGCCTTCTAATGCTGTAGACTAAATACTTGAAAGGCTCTTTCTAAAGTTAGAGCTCTTATTTCCATTTGTATGGTATCATCTGGCCTTTTAAAGGTCTGATTTTGATTGTATAAGATTATAACTGCATCATAGACTGCCAGAAAATACTGCTGAAACAATACATACCAAAACCATAAAAGAATAACATGTACGTATTGGGAGGGGGAGGGAGAGAGAATAAACCCGACTTGTATTCCATCTCCAGCTAGAAATAATAATCTATCTAGTTAAGAAAGGAAGATGATATCAGGAGTTTCAGTATAATCTATGGGACATTCTAACAACTTTAGACTCTTGTGACCAAAACCCTAAAGAACCAGTAGCACTTAAATACTACAATGATGGACATTTTAGAAAACTGTTAGATAGACAGACCTATGCAGTGTATTCTTCAGTGTGCTTTTATATATACCCAGCATTGTGGTTTTGCTTTAGAGTCAGAGTGAACGAAGCTACAGACCCAGGTCTAGGATGTAAATCAGTTTGTGTGGGCATGGAGGAGGTGGGGTTGAGTGATTTGTTTGGTTCAGGAAAAAGGGAATTAAATGTAGTATTATAAATTTGGAAGCGGGATGGGGCAGCATCAGGGTAAGGTAAGGTTCTCCCAACTATAGAGCCTGTGTGCTTGGTTGGCATGATCCACCCCTTCGTAAGGTAGGCTGGAAAGAAGCATTACTTACCTGTCACTTTGCTTTCCTTAATAAGCTCTTTCACAAGTAGGCTTGTGTTTTCCTTCCTTATCATCTTTCTCCTATTTCTCTTTCTTTGCCTCTGTCCAAGATAAAAGCATATCTGGCTCTTCAGGGTGAGAGTTAGCCTTACTATACATTTGTATCTTACAACTATATATATAAACTGCATTGAGATTGGAGTGACAGTTTAATACAGGTTTGAAGTCTTGGGCGAGAGCCAGTGATTCCTTGCCTGCACACTTGGCTCTGCATGATCCAGCAGTAGGAACAAGCTGCATTATTTTATTTCAAACTGTGCTCAGCAGAAGCCAAGACCTTGTAACTGGAAACTTACCAAACTCTGAGAAGTCTCAAAGTATAGTCAGTGTCTTGTTTTTTAAAAAAGGAACTGTTGGCAATTAATTTGTTTAACACTTGTGATTTAAATGTAATATCAAGTAAAGTAGAGAAGAATAAGCAAAAACCTTAAAAGTGGAATGAAATATCCTGTGCTACAATGTCTCCTGAAATTCATATTATGATTGAAGAGCTCTTAATATTGGCAAGTTAAATAAGATTTGGTGGTAATTGAGTGCTGAGATCTAACCTATTAATTATTACGTGTGAATTGTTTGTCATTAAACCTGTGGAAAGTTTATTGCAATTTTGCATGGGTTTTTTGGTTTTTTTTTTTTTTCAACTGGCAAATGCTGAACTGTGAATTTTACTGAGTATTCACAAGCTGAATTTTAACTATTCATTTTGTGATCTAATTCCTCATACAAAGACAAAATTAATCTAGAATGCATAAAACTGAGTGTGTGCATATAGCAAAGGCCTCTTTGTGTTTACAAGTTGTAACTGAAAGAGAGAGGAAGTGGAGTATATCTTCTAGCCAGTATTCGAAGCTCCAGCACAGCTTGCCCTTACAGTCCTGCCCTAATACCTATTATACCTATACCTATTCACTGTAATGCAGGCAGTATAAATATAGAAAATATGGCCAAAGTAAGCAGCCTTGTGGTTCTTGGAGAAATTCACAAATTGAGTCTAATTCCTAAAAGTCCGCCACCTGGTTACTTTTCATTGAGGTTAATTTATCCACAACCAGGATATTTCCAGCTTTAAGCAACTATTTGTGCAGAGAAGAAACGCTGTTCTGGCATAAATAGCAAATTCTGTCCCTCTCTATGAGCTGAGAGCCTGCCAGTTCTGTCCATAATCATCTCAAGGTAAAGGCAAGTCGGAAATTGTGCTGTGCATTTGCTTTATTATAGTAAAAGCTTTTTTATCCAGCATGTTGGAGGAATGGGGGGTGCCTGTAAGTGATTCTGGTTAACTAAGAGGGAGGGAGTTTGGGTGTGGGGCTGGGGGTTGGGACACGGGAGGGGGCTTGGGTAAAGCGGTTGGGGCAGAGGAAGGGTTTTGGGGTGTTGGATCTGGGGGGCGCTCACTTTGGGTGGCTCCAGAGAAGCAGCGACCTGTCCCTGCTGTTCCTAAGCAGAGGTGCAGCTAGGCAGCTCTGTGCGCTGCCTTGCCCTGCACACTGGTTCCGCAGCTCTCATTGGCCGGGAACCAATTGAGAAGTCTACATGGAATACTTTGATATTTCCAGCCTGTCTCCTTGCAGATGCTTCTGACAGAACCAACCCCACTGTGCTGATGTGTAGTTTTTATGGTTCACTGATACACTTACCTTATACAAAACTCTTAATGGAAACAACCAGCTACCATGCTCCTCTGTGGCACTCCATAACAAGAAATACAATTCTCTTGAGTTATCATGCCATGGATGAGTCATCACTTTCTGATTGAAAACAGTAGGGTCGCTGGTGTTGCTGAAAATTGGTCATTGTTATCTTCCAAATATTTATTACATCAGCAATATGTTTAATTTTTCCTGCCTTCTATTTTCAAAGTATTTATTAATAGACAAATTTTCTCTGTTAGTTAAAAACCAAACACACTAGCTTAATGCCTCATTTAGACACCTTTGTTAAAACAGCTCACTGAGTAAAAATGCAGAATGTGGTCAGTGTGTGTTGTGTCTGTGCAGTTTTTTATCCCTTCCTCTCTTACGCTGCTGTTGTGGAATGATCATATCTGTGTCTGCTGGAAAGCACAGCTATAGGGTTTTTCCTCTTGTTGCAGAGCTGTTGGGCTTTTCCAGCTTTACTGAATGGTGTGTCTAAGAGTTTTGTTCCTCTTTATTGTGGGACTTTTGATATACCTTTAAATTAATGTAATAGTGCCTAAGAAAAGAGCTCGTAGTGATTGTAATAACTGGTGTGATATCACTTTTATCTGGGCCAAGCCAGGTATTGTGTAAGATCACAGTCCACCATCTATCAGAGGCAGTTGACAGAGATCTCAGAAAAGAGCAAGCTGTTGTTTTTTTTTAAGGGCGTGGATGCACAGACCAGATTTTCACTTTATGAAACATAATAGCACAATGCTTAGAATGGCAACGACAACTCTACATAAACTTAATTGACTTTGAGAAGGCTTTTGATAGCTTTCACAGGACCAGCCTATGGCGCATTCTGTGGGCATATGGAATCCTTCTCCATATAATGAACATCATCAAAAGCTTCTATTCCAATTTTACAGGCAGTGTTGATAACAGTGAGCTCAGTTTTGAAGTCAAAATAGGAGTACATCAGGGGTGTGTCATATCTGCTATCCTCTTCAAATTGCCATCGACTGGGTAATGCAGCGTACACAGAAGACATGCCAAGAGGCATTATCATGACCTTTAATATTGCCTCGTCATCACCACTACGGATAGAGGATCATGTTCTCACCAGTGTAGAATAATTCAAGTACTTGGATAGCCCCATCAGCCAGGATGGTGGAACGTGCCAGGACATCCGCAACTGAATCAATAAAGCCAGGAACACCTTCAGCTTAAATACAGTCTGGAAATCATCAAAATACAATACCAAAACCAAACTCAAGATTTATCAGTACTTTCAACACTACTTTTTAGTGCAGAATTCTGGGGAATAAGAAAGTATGACCTGTCCAACCTTTCTTCATTTCATACAACCTACCTCGGAAAAATCCTCCATATCTTTTGGCCCAGAACAATCTCAAACCAAGACCTATTCACACAACCAAGAAGATATGAGCACCGTCATTGCCAATAGGCGTTGGAGGTGGATTGGCCATGTACTTCAGATGAAAACTGATTCCATCACCAAAATAGCAATAAGATGGACACCTGAAGGCAAGTGAAAACGAGGCTGTGCAAAAACGACATAGCAAAGAGCTGTGGAAGCTGAGCTGAAA